GCTGTGCTTTCCTGCGTCCTTTAGGAACACGTTATCACTGTGCTTTCTGCCAGCCTCTCAAATGATACAGTCTTCCTATCCCCTGTGTCCAAATCTTTAAATTGTGAGGCTTGGCTCTAACACAAATGTCACATCTGGCTTGCTGAACACTTTGATCAGCTTCACCTTGAAGCTGTAGTTATGTTAAAGGTCAAGAAGGGCAGCCTGCTATGTAGCCAGTCCACCCTCACCAGCAAGTAAGGAGCTGCAAAACAGATCCAATGTGCTACACAAGACAGATGACAGCTGGGAGCACGAGAGAGATGACAGCTGCAAGCTGAATGGGAGGGTAATCAGGGTAATCACTGGCCTACTGGGTAGAACTTTGAAACTCTGTAAAAGGATATACTGACACGATTTCAAATAACATGACACTGCTTTGAAAGATGGGTAGCAAAAATAAGCACCAGACCATCCTGAGTTGCTCCATTCCAGCAACGATGGCCGGGAGTTTCAAGGGCAGAGAAGGAAAGAATATTTTCTCCCCTTGGGTAAGGTGCACCTGACCATGCTTCATTCACTACATATGGTACCGACACAGAGAACTGAAACAGGAAAGCATTTGTAAACCTTAGAATCCACATGATATAAAATTTTATACAGAAAAAGATTTTTAAACTTAAAACATTTTAAACTTTAGACATTTTGTAAAACAGAGTTTGGCATACTATTGCCTATGAGCCAAATCAAACCAGCAGCCCTGTAGCCCTTGAGCAGAGAATGGCTTTTATACTTTTAAAGGAGATAAAAAAGGCTCAGCCCCTGTAGCAGTGGTTACAGAGCTGGCCACATGCACTGAGGCTGGTAGATTTGAACCCGGCCCCGGCCAGCTAAACAATGACAACTGCAACAAAAAATAGCTGGGCACTGTGGCAAGCACCTGTAGTCCCAGCTACTCTGAAGCTGGAAGCTGAGGCAAGAGAATCACTCAAGCCCAAGAGTTTGAGGTTGCTGTGAGCTGTCACGCCACAGTACTCTACCGAGGGTGACATAGTGAGACTCTGTCTCAAAAAAAAAAAAAAACTATTTACTTTGAATCCTTGACAGAAAAAAATATACAAAGCCCTACGTGAAAAATATGCATTCTAAGAAAGAGTTAAAATTTAGTTCATTCGTCAGCAGTTCATATGCTAATTTTAAAAAAACTATCAATGGCATTCAATATTATCTAGCCAAATGGATAGGCCATATTATAATAAAAATCTGGGGCCAGGCACAGTGGCACACACCTATAATCCTAGCACTCTAGGAAGCCAAGGGGGGTGGACAGCTTGAGCTCACAAGTTCAAGACCAGCCTGAGCAAAAGCAAGACCCTGTCTCTACTAAAAATAGAAAAACTGAGACAAGAGGCCCACTTGAGCCAAGAGGTTGATGTGAGCAATGACACCACGGCACTCTACCCGGGGTGACAGCTTCAGACTGTTTCAAAAAACAAAACCTGGGCCTAGTTTTAGTCCTTCAGCTCTTACTGTTCACTCATTTCAGTGAGAAACTGGAAAAATACTTGTTTGGGGTAAAAAGTGAAAATGGCTTTGTCAGATTTCAGTTCAACTAAACAGATCATTCATACAGATTATCTCTTTTCTAAATCACTTAGCAGGCAGGGACCACATTCTTTTTTGTATTTTTATAAGACACCTGTTATTTACCATTTATTCCATGACAACCACCACACTCCACACTTTACATGTATAATTTCATTTAGTTTCTTCCATCCTATATAAATTCCTTAAGAGCCTCTTTCCTCTTGGGCACCACCATGCCATCCAGAAAGAAGACTCAGAACCTTTGGAGCCACGCAAGCCACACCCATAGCCCATTGGCAAGCACCAGGAGGCCTGGGTGATGCTGGTGGCATGCATCACTACACGGTCAACTTCAACAAATATCACCCAGGTTACTGTGGGAAAGTTGGTTTGAGGCATTACCGCTTAAAGAGGTACCAAAGCTACTGCCCAACTGTCAACCTTGATAACTATGGACACTGGTCAGTGAGCAGACATGAGTAAATACTGCCAAAAAGAAGAGTGGAGTTGCTCCCACCATGGATGTAGTGCGATCGGGCTGCTACAAAGTTCTGGGGGAAGGAAAACTCCCAAAGCAGCCAGTCATTGTGAAGGCCAGAAAAGCTCTTAAGGGGGTTCAAGGGGCTTCTGTCCTTGCTTGAAGCCACATGAAGGGACGTTCATTAAATGCTTTTTTTTCTTTTTCTTTTTTTTTTTTTAAGAGACAGAGTCTGGCTATGTCACCCTCTGTAGAGTATTATAGAGTCACACT